TAAAAAGTAAATCAGAGACATATTTATAGTAATTATGCAGGCAAATTTGCCTGCAAATCTCTACCAATTAAGGGATAGACGTCCCGCATCCTAATGTCGCATGTAATTTGAAACAATAACTTTCTTTAAATTAGTTCAATTAGCAAATTTATAAATTAGATCAGAACTACAATTTATTGGAATATACTCAAATTACGCATGTGATTGATTACTCTTTACAATAGCAAGAAACTAATTAGTTTTTAGCTAAATTTTTTTGATCTGATTATTGGATCACTCTCACAAAAAAAACCAGATAAAATTCACCACCCAAATTTATTTCAGATCATGCTATATTTTATTATTATTCTAAGTATAAATATAATAATCACTAAAATCATGTCGTATGATCTGAAATAAATTTGGGGAGTGAATTTTACCCAGTTCACAAAAAATAGTATAGTATTGATTAATATAAGTCGATTTACTAATTTATTAGACTAATACCTTTTTTTAATAAAAAAAAATTGCCAATTGAACTAATTTGTGTATTCACACAATATATATACATATTAGATAGAATTATTGCATTATACTAATTTAGAAAACAAGATTACTAAATACATATCTAAATTCTCTTTTTCTTGTTTCCTCTACTTCGTCCTCTTCCTTTTCCTTTTTCACTTTACTTATAATAAGCTGCATTGTGACCCACCTCTCCACACTGATAGCATTTATATAATTTTCTAAAAGAAGTCTTTCTTCGATTTTGTTTTTTTTCTATACTACTCATATAACGGTGCTTTGATGATTGTCTTTTTCTAACAATATGAGGTAGATTTTAAATATTTTGTGAAAGTTGAATAATATTAATTACTTCATTATCAAGTATTTCATTATTAGAATTATTGTTTTTATTGTCTTCTAATATATCTTGATACTCTTCCACATCAATGTCTTTGTTTTCTCTTTCTTGACGTTTGTCCACAGTATTGTCTTCTTCTTCCTCTGATATAGCTTGATATTTGTCTATAGTATTATTATAATCTTCTTCTAATATAATTTGATATTTATTTACAGCATTATCATTAATAGATTCTTGCAATTCTTTTGTAATGGAATTAGATTGTGCATTAACTGAATATAAAGGCATTTTCCTTTTTTTTATTTTGAGTATCACTGTTATATACATTTATTTTATCTTTTTTTTTCATTATATAGCTCTGAAGAATATTAACTATTTCATTATTATTGATATTTACAGCCAATTTTGTTACTTCACGAGCTAATCCCCAAACTTTGCTATATTGATTTCTTTTTTTTAAAGTTTTTCTCATAGGTGGAGCCATAACCAAAATTGTAGATATTTGTCGAATTAGAAGAATTTCTTCATTATCGATAATCCTCTTTTCATAGCTAAATATAATATTCTCATCCTCATATGTTTTATTCTCTTGATAGGAATTTTTGTATCATCATGAAGGAATCATTGATATATAAAATGATTTAAATTTGGAATACATCATTATATAGAAGTAGTGTTGACAGATAAGTCTTTTTAAAATAGTCATAAGGCATAAGCAAAGAAAAGATACTGGGTTTAAAATAACTATAAAATATATATGATTTTTTTTTTTAGTGCAGATATTAGATATTCTCTAAATTTCTTTAATATTTTCACTTTCAACTTCATCTATTATAGACTGAAGAGTAATTTGGCATGTATTATAATTGTCTTCAAGAAATCCACATGAAGCCTATTTATCGATTTCTTGTTCAGAGTTAAGTTTGTTAGATTTTGACACTATCTTATTAGATGTAAGAAATAAGCATTCTGCTATTTTATTCTTAATTAGATTATTAATAGCTTCTATAAGGTATTTGTCAATGTTTTGAGTTATTATTAAAAAAAGAACATATCTAGGAGTAGAAATGGGATCCATTTTACCGACCCATTTTTCATATCACCTTTTTTAGAAATTTGGGACGATCATCAAAATTAACCAATAAAATTAGGTCCACGTTAGATAGTCATTTAACCTGATGAATTTATATAATAGAATCGATAATAACTGATAATGTTTCGAATCATAGTATTATCATGATCCTTTTTTTATTATTATTAAGTACGTACCTACATTGAATGCTTCGATTGCTATAAATCTAATATTGCAATAGTCTAAAATAGCCTCGTAATTAAAGTAAGTACTAATAATGATTTAAAAGCTCTATCTTGGGCTATTATAATACTTCAACGTGCATAAAATTCACAGGTATAAATAATTTATTTATGTAATGCAACAGATTATTTTTACAGATTTACCAAATTTTTTTTTTTTTTAAATATATTATCAGTTGAAACAAGTAAAAAAAAGTGCAAGTTTCATATTGTTATTATATTTGAGATTAAACTATCACGTTGATCTGAATTTCGCGAATATAAAAGTTAAACACCAATTATCTATAGTTCTATTTAGATCAATTATTATAATAAAGTTCGAAATAAATAATCTTAAGAGTTATAACATTTATCACATTACATAAAAATATAAATATTTAGAAAGCTGAAAGTTCTGCAATTACGGATGGTGCATGTATAGGCTGCAAAAATAAATAGAATTCGATTTAATTTAATATTTGATAAATGTTGGGACCCAACCCCTCTCTATTGTTAATAATTATTAGTTATATATTGTAAAGTTTTGCAAAATCAAAAGTGTTATACGTAGAGATGTACATCTTACGGCTACATTTCACATGTCAACGCGAGATCATGTCACGCGACTTCTCGCGAGCTATATAATAAAAGTTCATTTTAGAAACAACATATATATTTGGTAATCACCAATTATTAAAATTTTCTGATCAAATGATTTATTTTGCGTGAAATAAGACATCATTTCACAAAATCATGGGTGTGATAATTTTGCAATCTTGTGCAAGTTACATTTCTAGTTATACCTATATCTAAATCAGTCTTAGAATATTCCAGTTTCATGACAAACGTGTTATGTGTAAATTAGTTTGATATTTAGTAAATATTATAAAATTGTTAATTCATTTTATATTACCATAATGTAAATTATGCACGTATGCTATCTTCATCTTTTTGCAATAATTTTGAGTTAAATTAGATAAATTTTTAGTTAAATTAGATATCTTTAAAAAAGCTAACCTTATCCCCTATGACTTGTATTATTAACGTCGCTAGTTAAATATTATCTAATTATATAGTATTCTACAACAGGTGCTCAAATTGAAACCAATGAACATCAATTACGTGGTTGCTGGCATTCATTCTATTGTGGCCCAATAATCCAACAACTGAATTTTAAAATTATACAAGCTAATCTAATTCATATCTTGCTATAAAAACAGCTATTAAACGGATATATTAAGATATATATAATGATATAATGCTAATTCTATTAAATATGATTTAATAAAAAGTATTTTGAAAACTTTATTAAAATAACGACTCTTGTCTATAATTCAATAAAAAAATATTTTTTGAAGTTAAATAATAAAAATGATAAAATGACGATATCTGTCTGTAACTTCAAATAATTAAATGTGATTCAATAAAGTTAAATCAAGTTTGTAATTGCAAAGGTTTTATTGTAGTTTGCATAATTTTGTGACCCCCTATGATTAATTTTTTTATGATTAAATGATCGTGATTACTAAAGTCGACCAACTTATAATAAGTCTGAGTTTGTATCAAATTCAGATGAGTAATCACGATCATTTAATCATAAAAAAATTAATCATAGAGGGTCACAAAATTATACAAACTGCAATAATGAAAAGGTTAATAAAATTAATCATATTTATAACAATACCTATTTGTAATCATAAGTATATTGAAGTCAAATAATATCAATAACAAACTTGTCTGTAATAGTGAATATTTACTACAAAATAACGAATAAATTTTTAATTATTTTATAACAGCGAAATTATACAAGACAATTAAAATATACTTATAATTTATTTCCAGTTCGCTATTACCATACTGTCCTCTTGGCTTTGGGCGTGATCCTTGCAAAATATCCTTTTTAAAGTTTAATTATTCAGATATATCTAAAAAAAGAGGCAGTTATAACATAAGCGTAAAAGCAAAGTTAAACTCACATCTTTTGTTAAAAGAAAGTGACCGAATTATGCTTGGTAATTTGTTGAATGATGGTGCACCTGGCGTAGTTGAAAAAAAGTGGAACTTGTCTAATAAAGAACATATTACAGAACGAGATCAATTTTTTCAGAAAAATGGTCTTGACATTAACTCTGACGATGTGCGCTGCAAATGGTCTATCCGACAGTCAACTAAAACACAAATCATTAAGCAATGTATTTGTGGAAGCTATCACGAAAAAGAAAAGTCCAACCCTTGGGTTTTAGCAGCCCGTTACTCTTATGTAGGATGCCTTGCATTTGTAACACTTTATCATCATAATAATGAAATTTATGGTGTTGCGGGATATCTACAACATTCTGAGCAATGTTTAACTTCAAACCCGCAGCATGACCAAACATATAAACTTTTACTATACATAAAAAAAAGTGTTGAAAATCTGTTAGATCTAAATGTCAAAACCTCAGATATTCTTGCTCAAAATGCAAGAACAGTAAAAAATGTGGTTGGAAATCATACATTAATTGGAGATTTTAGAACATTACTTACCACAATTGACATTTCAAATATCAAGAAGCAGATGTTACAGAAAACTTGGAATATCAATATTAAGCACGACGCTGCTAAAAATCTAGATCAGTTTCTTGGAACAAATACAAATGAATCTGAGCTTAAAGAAGCATGTTTGCATTACCAACCACATACAATAGAAACCAGTTATCTGGAAATCATTATTTGTACCCGTGAACAGCAGGATTACGCATGGAAATATGGACATAATAATTTAATTCTTGTAGATGGGACCTTTGGAATTAGCAAGCATAAGCTACTTCTATTTATTATTATAGTAATTGATGAAAATAATAAAGGTATTCCTATAGCCTTTATTCTATTTACACCACCTCAACATAATCGATTAACATCATCTGGATATGATAGTATAATTTTAGAAAGGCTTTTCACAATCTTTCATGATAAAATTAGTAACAATTATAATTAAATTCAATTTGCAATAAACCCAAACATTACTCCAGTTACATTTAGCCCCCGTGTTGTAATGACCGACACTGATGTTAAAGAGAGAAAATCATTGTCGAAAGTATGGCCAGAAATCATAATGCTTCTTTGCTACTTTCATATTAGTCAATGCTGGAAGAATGAGATTAATAAGCAGTTAGGCTGAGGTGGCAAAAGTAATGTAATTTTGCAATGACAAACTTTAAAGGAATATATCAAAAGTATTTTGAAGGAAGCTTGGTTAATGGAGGGAAGTGAAGAGATAGTATGCAACTATATTATAGAAAAAAAAAATTTATTAGAATGCCTTATTCAAAATGCAAAAGATATGCCAGAAAGTAAAAAAAATATATTAAATGGTGGGGTTAAATTTCTTAATTATTTAAATAAACAATGGGCCGGAGATCTTCTGTATAGTTGGTGTCTTGATGAACAGATAAGAGCTGCAAATGCTCTTGGAATTCCTTTAGAAAAGCTCCCTACTACGAATAACCATCTTGAAGGAATGAATGAATATTTAAAAAACAATCAATTAAGTCGATTTAAGAGAAATAGTCGTCTTCTTAGGGCTGATGTGCTCTATATTGCTCTCGTATTTGAAGTCATACTTAACATATTAACACTGCGATGCTTTGCTATGGACCTTGAATGTAAGAAAGCAGAACGAAGAAAAGAGCTTAATATAATGAGTCTAATAGATCGCAAAATTCTTATGCAAGAATATTCTCACATTGAATACTTATCTCCAAGCATAAAATGTGATGAAGCGGCTAAGAAATTAATTGATATAAAGAAGGTAATAAAGCATGAGGTAGAAGAATCGACAGAAAATATTTATGTTGAAGTTGAATCAGAAACCAAACCGGAGTTGGTTTACGCAACTTGTGTATATGGGCATCCGACTAATATTTGTTGCCAATATCTTGACTTTCTCCAAAAAGGAATTTTGTGTAAGCATCTACGTGCTGCAGCTTTTTACATTGATGATCTTTGTAAGCATAAACAATATTTGCATCTACCTGAATGGTTTTCCCTACTTATGAAGAAGCTCAAACTATTCATCATAACCTATATAATAAATCAAAATTACCAGCAAATTCTGTGAATAGTAATTACATTAACAATGAAGGTGATATTAACGACGAAAATGATGAAGACATCAACAATGAAAATGATGAAGATATTAACAATGAAAATGATGAAGACATTAATGAAGAAAGCGATAATTATGATGATGATGACAATCCTACATCTACCTCATCTAAAGAAGCTCTTAATTATGTGGAGCATATTTTTGGAATTAATACTCCAACAATAACATTGTTATCTACTTCATCTACACAAAATCAGCCAAGCTCTAAAGTAATTGATATTAAAAGCCTAAATGCAACTGCTATTTACAAACAGGAATTCAAAGAATTCTTGGAATCTACCTCAAGAAGTCTTCAAATGTTGCGAGAGAATTCAATATTTTTCCAGAGTCTGATTAATTATAAACAATCAACACAAGAACCTGGTAGTAACGATCAACTTGCTCTACATACTCACCTTCATAACATTATTGCCTAAAATTCTTTTAAAGAAGCATTAAACTTAGTTGATGTTATGCAGGAAGATATGAATCCTCCTAGGAATATAACTTTTTCTGACACAGATATTATTCCACTAGCACGCGAAAAAAAACAACAACGGAAATCATTGTACAAAACCTCCTAGATCAGTCATTCGTACTACTTAATTGTAGCACTGCACAAACGGATATTTACTATTCATTTTCTGCAACCAATGGTATTTTCACTGGGGTATTTAAAACTTTATTAGCAATATTAAACATTTGAAGTGAAATAGGAATTAATTTACATTTATATAATTGTGATTTAACCCTGTATCTTGTATATTAAAATTATGCTTTCAATTGTTGAAAAATTATTATTTAATAATACATATTACCAGTATTGTTGTGCTCGAAGTTGGAAACTGCTTGATGTTGTAATTCTAATATAAACTGAGGGAGACAAGAAAGTTGGATTAATAAGAGTTTGATAACTAACACTAAAGTGAATTTAATTTGCACATACAAGTCAGAACATAGAAGTTTTAACATTTTCAATTTAAAATGTAGCTAAAGTGAATTTAATTTGCACGTATATGTTTAACACTTTCAATTTAAAATGTAACAAAAAAAAAGACACGTTACTGATATTACGATTAGAAAGTCCGATGACTATCTAACGTGGACCTAATTTTATTGGTTAATTTTGATGATCATCCCAAATTTCTAAAAAAGGTGATGTGAAAAATGGGTCGGTAAAATGGGTCTAGAAATGGTAGGAAGTGTTGTTGAGTCTTTATATAGATGAAATCTATTCTATTGTGTTTCTACTTTTAAACATTGATTAAGACGATCTACTAGTTTACACAATAAGCAATTAAATTTGATTTCTTTTTTAATAATCCAGTTATATAATTCAACACAGACTGTACTTTCTATTCTAGCTGTAAATATTTTTGATAAGTAGACACGAGCCCAGGATTGACTACTTGAATACAAGACATGTAACACGTAATCTTTTGCTATTGGAAATCTAATAAGCATATCATTCCACTGTTTTAGAAAAAGTGATTTACAGAGACTATTATAGCACCAGTAAAAAACTTTTATAAAATCTTTCCACTTATTGCCTATTTTTAATTTAAGATTTTTAGGCAAATTCTGATTTATATAAAAAATGCAGTGTGTAGTGTATGTTTTAGGAAAAATAATACGAATTGCAGCATCAAGTGCTAGATCTGAATCAGTAAACATGACTAAGAGCTCCATTTGTGTTGTATTTTTAATACAGGTT